CTCCGAGCTCCTCCGGCGGCCACGGGAGGCGCGGCGGGGGCGGCTCCGGGTCGCGGCGGGGAGGCGGGAGCTGCCGGGCCGCCTGCAGCCTCCGGAGCCGCGGCCGGCAGCCGCACGCCGTGCTGAGTTGGCGGCGGGCAGAGCCGGGCGGAGCCGGGCGGAGCGGGGCGGTCGAAGCGGGGCTCGCGGTGTGAACTTGGTGCGAGCCTCGCTGTCAGCGCGGTTCTGCGGTGGGCTCGGCGTTCCGCGGCCCGTTTTTGCGGAGGGTCTTCGACTGCGGTGTTTCGAGCCGGCAGGAAAGAAAAAAACGAAAGTGGCGAAGCCGAGAGCGCGCGGCGTGAGCTGGGGGGAGCGGCGGAGCGAAGTGAGCTGCTCGCAGGGAAGCGCCGTTCGGATCCAGGGGGTGGCACTGGATTTACATAAACCGATCCGTTTCCTTATCCTGGATACTTCAACGCCTGCTGTCATTCTAAACGATACGCTCTCCGCGAACACTGCGGTTTCTGGAGTATAACAAGTGGGTGCGTTTTGTGCTCCGGCGCGTTCCCCTTCCCGCAGCCCGGCGCCCGCCTCTCGCGCAGCGCGCAGCCCTGGGCCGGCCTCGGGCCGCACTTCCTCTGTGTCTGCAGTGCTGCGTTCCGGGCCCCGTGCTGAAAGAGGGGCGGTGAGCCCCTGGAGCGCGTCCAGAGAAGGCTTAGAGCGTTGGTCGGCAGTTGGACTAATGATCTTAGTTGTCTTTCCAGTCTTGGTGCTTCTACGATTCTATAAAGTGGTTCTTGCAGAACTTGGATTTCCACTTCACCTGCTTCTCTTCCCCATCTCTTCACAGTGTTTGTGCCTTTTGCACTCGTGTGTTCATACGCCAGTTTTTGAGTGCGTGCCTGAAACTTCTCGTGTCCGGCAGGTGGGTGGGGTGAGCCTGGGTGGTGATAGTAAGAGGTGGTTAAATGCGCCAGTGGCATCGAGAGAAGTAATCTGGAAAGCTGACATTGGTGTCATAGAACTGGCACTTCTTTTTTATTTAGTTTCTATTCTTTATTGCTTGGGTCTAAGTTTTAGCTTGTGATGCGTTATCTCAGCCCAGGATAACGAGCTTTGCAGCCCATTACTCTCTTGCTGTCTGAGTGTCTGTGTTCTGGGATGGATGCGTGGAGGTGCAACTCACCCCGTGCTGCCAGCACTGCGTCCAGCATTGGGATGGTGCCTTGCCTGTAAATGGCGGAGGGTCAGTAAGAGAGTGCTGGGTGGGACCCAGAAATAATCTGCAAAAGGCATCAGATCTCAGTAGTGTGGAACCTCTAGTGTCTCAATTTTATGGCAGCCACTTGATAGCAGGACAGATACCGGAAGTTTCCACAAGTCTGTGTTGTGTTCTCAGTTCCCTGTGGCCTTCAGACCTTCAGACACCCCCTGAAGATCTTACTTGGGCCAAAAGGAGCCGATAAAAGTGAATTACAGGCATACAAGTAACTTCATGAAAATGGTGACTGACTGCAGCTTCTTTTCCAGGTTAACTGTAGCAGTATACTGAAGCAATAATTTTTCTTTTTGGAAACAAAAATGTAGTTGTACTGCATGTGGTTGGGCTACATGGTTACAAAAGTAATGCAAAGCAACACTTTCAGGTAGAAAAGGGTGAAATGGGTGTTGGAAATGGTGTGTCACGTCCTTGTGTCCTGCCATGGTTAGAGGCTGGGGCTGTGTGGTGAAAGGCCCTTTTCTTGCCACGGACAGAAAGCTGTTGTGCAGGTGAGCACAAAGATCCCCTGTATGCTCAGAGTTCAGCAGGCAAAAAGACTTTTGCTTAGAACGTTTTTGTGCTGTGGAAGAACAACCCAGGTGCCATCCACTGCACAGACATTTTATGGCACTGCACAGAGCTAAACTGAGCTGTCTGCGTTTGGTGTTTGAGTTTCCTGACGGATCAAGAAACATTCTCAGGCTTCAGTGATCTGAGAGCCCTGTGTGAGGGGAGAGGAGACACAAGGGTCCTCATTGCTGAATCTTTTCTGAAGTCTGAGAAAATTAACTGATCTAAGTAGCTTCACACAAAAAATTGGAGGGGAATTCCCCCCCCAGATTTTGCAGTATTGATTTGCTCAGCATTGGATGAAGGCTTATTAAATTCTTACTCTGTGCTTGTGAAATGAATAAAACCTCTTGAGCAAAAACAAATATGGAATGTGCTTCAGACACGTGCTTTTGTGCACTGAATTCGCTGTGTTCTCACTGGGCAGCATTTGCTTTTCTTGTATGTGCTATAAATAATTCCCTACTGGACTTTGCAGTACCATGTGGGTGGGTGAGATTAGATATCTGGAATGTGAGGATGAGTGCTGGGAGTCTGCATTCTCCTGGGAGCCCGATCCCCTCAGTATCATCCTGAGTCAGTCACACCTTGCACTGTAGGTGTCCTCATTAGGAAGTGAATAGTCTAATTCTTCATAAGATTTTCTAAGCCTATAATCATTCTAAAATACATTGAAGATATTGTGCTGACAGCTGTTAGCCAAGGGACGTTGGTCATTGTGTGTTTATAGGCTTGTAGCACAGTAATTCTGCATGGCTGGGAGGCTCTGAGAGAGGTTTGGGATGATTAAGAACACACATAGGCAAAATGGAACCTTTGTTCTCTTTCTGCCTATTGTACTGAAGGATTATCTTAAGCAAGGAGAGCAAATATGGTGACAAGTAAATACGTTTGTGAGGTTATCCCTGAAAATATGAATGTATTACAGTTCTGGGTGGGGTAATCTTTGGATCCAGAACTTAGCTTTTTAAGTTACAAGGGCCAGACTCTATAGAAGGACACGGGTTCCAGAAAGAAGACTTGAGTTCAAACTGGAATTTTCCACTTAGGACTCACCTAACACAGCAGTGCATTAAGCTTTATTTTTTTTTCTTTTTTTCTCTTTTTTTTTTTTTCCCATTGGAACATGAATTTTCCAGAGCTGCTCCTCAGCCTGCACTCAGAACTGCGGCCACAAAGAGTCATGCTCCTGACTGCTGTGCCAGGGCTCCTCTCTGGTATATAGGTCCAAACAGTGCCCTGCAGTCCCCACATGGCATTCAGGTGGGGCTGGCATTGGTGCAGTGGGGTTATTTGTGGCTTTGGAGCCAGGAAGGTCTCTGCTCAAAGCACAGCAGCCTTTCAGCAGCGGTACAGCAGCCGGCTACCAGAAATGAGCTGTGTTGAGTTCTCTGTGAGGAGCAGGAGCTTACCCACCAGAGGGGTGCTGTAGTGAATGAAAGCATCTTTTGAGGCTAAAACACCAGCCTCTGCCTCTGGTATTTCCTGTTGGCAATCTACCCACAGTAGGCAGTGTGTTGACTTTAGATAGCCTGGTTGGTTAGAGACATGGCTGTTGTAAACCGCTGTAGGGCTGCCCCACATACGGATACCTGCCTTGTTTTACTGGGTGTACATAGCCTGTGTTAGAGCACGTGTTCTGGCAGAAATGCGCTGCTTACTTTATGTTGTCCCCCTTAACTTGCCTCCCTTTTGTACTGTTTTAGCTAGATGTAGTTTATTTCAAAACCAGCTTCTAAAAATTGCAAACAGCATTTTGCCATTGTATTACTGGTGAAATAAAGTCATATAAAGTCAATAAAGACTTCTTACTAGGTAGCAAATCTTTACAGTGTTTGCAGGAGTAATTGGTGCATGAAGAATACTGGTTTTATTGAATGCATATATAAAAGAAGTTTAGACCAAGCAGTGCAGTGTGAGAAATACACTAATTGTAGTTAATTTTCAGCAACTGGATTGAAGTGACTGTTGGACCACAACAAACCCTGTGCCTGTCTTTCTGCAGTGGAGCGGTCTGCAAACAGCAATTTAGTCAGGGAAACTTCTCTGGTTGACAGTGCTCTTGCATTCTTTTCCATTTCACAACTTCAGCAGCAGCAGGTTTATTCTACAGGATATCAGCTTCTTTCTTAGAAAGCTGATTCCTTGTTTAACAAGGATGTAATGGAGAGACTCTTTCCATGTTTAATTGGAACTTGCTTTCTGTGCTTAACCAAGACTACTAGCCCTTGCTTTTCGTATCCTCTGAACCAGCTCCATTAAGAATTTTGATCTAACAGATTCACTTACGGTTTAATAAAGCAGTCTTTCTTTCTGTTGCTAGGGAGCCCTTGAGATGACAGCCATGGCAGAATTCAACAGCGTTCAGTCAGTGTCTGAAATGCCAGAAGAAGGTGAAGCTAAACGTGGCTTCTATCACAGAATGTTTTTGGAACCTCAGGAGGAGAAGAGGAACCTGAAGGCTCTGATGGTTAAACAAGTGAAGAAAACTTGCAGCTGCACTCCAGCCAAAGTTAAAGACTGTGTTTTGAGTTTCTTTCCCATCGTGCAGTGGCTTCCTAAGTACAATCCAAAAGAGTGCTTACTGGGAGACATAATGTCTGGTGTGATTGTGGGGGTCTTGCTAGTCCCACAGTCAATTGCTTATTCTCTCTTGGCTGGGCAGGAGCCTATTTATGGCCTTTATACGTCCTTCTTTGCAGGCATTATTTATTGCATATTTGGAACCTCTCGCCACATCTCTGTTGGTATCTTTGGTGCGCTTTGCCTGATGGTGGGACAGGTGGTGGATCGTGAGGTGCTGAGGGCCGGCTATGAGTTGGAGCCAGCTGCTCTCAGTGACCGCATGGATACAGCAGTGCACGTGAACTCCACCGCTGCGCCTGTGAACCAGACATTACAGAAGCTGCTCTGTGATAAAACCTGCTACGCAATAAAAGTGGGATCCACCATGACCTTCATAGCTGGGGTTTATCAGGTAAGAGGAAGTAGGCAAACAAGTATTCTGTGGCAATAGTTTTAATTCTCTGTGTGGTTGTTCATATGGGCAATCTGCTGAGGTTGCACGTGTCCTCTGCATCTGGGGCAAATGGATCTAAGCAGGACTGGATGTTGCCAGTTACTGTGGTGCAAGAAACTCCTCTGTGATCTCCTTTTTGTTTGGATAACATTTTGTACTTGCTTTGTTAGCTTGCTGGTGACTGCAAGGTCCTGCATGGAACATTGCCAGACCTGCTGCACCCACACTGATCTGCACACTGCCTTGTATTTTCTGGCTTATATCTTATATCAGGGCTCAATTTCACTGAGCCAAAATGTGGCATGTTAGCTAAGGCTTGAGTCACTTGCATTTATTAAAAAAAAAAACAAAACAAAGAAACAAAAAAAAGAAACCGAACCTGAACAATAGAGCTATTTCCAGTTTCTTTTTATTTATCTCTAAGCTTTTTTTTTTTTTTTTTTTTTTGTGAAACTTTGTTGTTTGCCCATTCAAAGCCGAATTGATTCCACTGTGTATTACAAGGGTGGATAGTGATAGGACAAGGGACAAGGGGAAATGGTTTTAAACTGAGACAGGAAAGGTTTAGGTTAGATATTAGGAAGTTTTTCACACAGAGGTGGTGAAGCACTGGCACGGGTTGCCCAAGGAGGCTGTGGATGCCCCATCCCTGCAGGCATTCAAGGCCAGGCTGGATGTGGCTCTGGGCAGCCTGGGCTGCTGGTTGGTGACCCTGCACACAGCAGGGGGGTTGAAACTGGATGAGCATTGTGGTTCTTTTCAACCCAGGTCATTCTATGATTCTATATGAAGAGGGTACTACTGAGATAATAAAGCAGTTTTGAAACAAAGCTTTTAGTTACGACCATACTAAAATATGTTATTTAATGGTATTTTACTCTTCAGTCTCTGCTTAGATCGTAGAATTCAATGCTTGCTGAAATTAAAGCAGATATCTTTGTTTTTAGACTGTCATGCATTAACCAGAATTGATTTAGTTTTAACTGTACTTCAGAACTGTGATGTTTAAGTTCGTGAGTTCACATTCATTTCTTCCTACAGTGACATTCACAGTGATAGTTCACCAAAGTGTAGAGGAGAAGAAAAAGAGACATTTAGCTCCATTTAACATGAAGCTTGTTGGGAAGGAAGGGATATTTCCCTTCACATGGTTAGGGAGATCTCCTGTAGGAGAACACCAAGGACTTCTCCATTCAGCTAGCATTAATAAAAATGAATGCCAAGGCACTTAAAAAGTTTATCTCTATTTATGTAATCTGTATCACAACAATTTGAAACTCATATACTTTCCAAGTTGGATGCAGCAAGCTGTATGCAGTGCAAAAGGCAGCTGTTAGACCATAAGCTGTATTTTTATTGCAGGCTGTCATATTTTATTTCATGAGACATACAAAAGCATAGATTTTGGATTCTGCAAAAGTTCAGAGAGATTGAAAGAAGTTGAGACAGAAATGGTGAAAGTAATCAGTATTCCAAATGCTTTCTTTTCTTACGACCCTTTTTTCTGAACCCAATGAGCCAACAATAAGCGTGGGTTCAGAGCAAGGAGGCCTCTGTGACCTCTAAAAAAGCCTGCTCTGTGTTGGCAGCGCCTTTCATTTAAGCGTGGTGCACAAGGAGCAGCCGAGTACTGCAGACTGCCTTTTTCATGCTGAGACCATGCCTCGTCCTCCAAGGCCATGTTTCTTACCACTTTTTACAGATCCCCACGACGATGACATCTACAGAGTTTGAATCCTAATCTCTTGTATGTGGTTGATTCCTTGCAGGTGGCCATGGGTTTCTTTCAAGTGGGCTTTGTCTCAGTGTACCTCTCCGATTCATTGCTCAGCGGATTTGTCACGGGTGCCTCCTTTACCATCCTGACATCCCAAGCTAAGTACCTCCTGGGTCTGGACATTCCACGGAGCAGTGGCGTCGGCTCCCTCATAACCACATGGATAAACATCTTCAGAAACATACACAAGACTAACATGTGTGATGTCATCACCAGCTTTTTGTGCTTTCTTGTTCTTATCCCAACTAAGGAACTTAATGAACATTTTAAATCCAGGCTCAAGGCTCCAATTCCAGTTGAATTAGTTGTGGTTGTGGCAGCTACTCTGGCATCTCACTTAGGGAAGCTGAAAGAAACCTATGGCTCAAGTGTTGCTGGGCACATCCCAACTGGCTTTCTGCCACCCAGCCCTCCTGACTGGAACCTGATTCCTAATGTGGCATTGGATGCTATCCCCATCGCTGTCATTGGCTTTGCCATCACTGTTTCCCTCTCAGAAATGTTTGCCAAGAAGCATGGTTACACCGTGAAGGCCAACCAGGAAATGTATGCCATTGGCTTCTGCAACATCATTCCCTCTTTCTTCCATTGCTTCACAACAAGTGCAGCTCTTGCTAAGACTCTTATTAAAGAGTCAACAGGCTGTAGAACACAGGTTTCTGGCGTTGTGACTAGTTTGTTAATCCTAATAGTCCTCCTTGTGATTGCACCTTTGTTTTATTCCCTTCAGAAATGTGTCCTTGCTGTCATAACCATTGTAAACCTCAGAGGTGCCCTGCGAAAGTTCAGAGACCTGCCAAAAATGTGGCATTTGAGCAGGGTGGACACGGTGATCTGGCTAGTTACTATGGTGTCCTCAGCACTCATCAGTACTGAGATTGGTCTTCTGATCGGTGTTTGTTTCTCTATGCTTTGTGTCATTTTTCGAACTCAGAAACCAGAGGCGCCATTGCTTGGCTGGGTGGCAGAGTCTGAAACATATGAGTCCCTGTCTGCTTATAAGAACTTAGAAACTAAGCCAGGAGTTGTGGTGCTGCGTTTTGAAGCACCCCTCTACTACATCAACAAAGAGTGCTTCAAATCCGCACTGTATAAGCAAACTGGAGTCAACCCAGCCTTGGTGAAGGCAGCAAAGAAAAAGGCAGCAAAAAGAATGCTTAGAGAGAAGGAAGCGGGTTCTGGTGGCAGCCAGACCAACGTTTCCATGGAGCTTGTGTCCGAGCCGTTGGGGTTTCACACAATAGTGATTGACTGTTGTGCAGTGCAGTTTCTGGACACAGCAGGAATACGCACGCTCAAAGAGGTCTGCAAGGACTACAGTGAGATAGATGTCCAGGTGCTGCTGGCACAGTGCAATCCTTCAGTGAGGAGTTCCCTAATGCGGGGAGAATTCTTCAAAGAGGGGGAGGACCATCTTCTCTTCCACAGTGTGCATCAGGCTGTGGACTTTGCACTGGGTGCACAGGAGCACAGCAGGACGTGTGCTTCTAAGAACTAGTCGGAACAAAGCCTGGAAAAAATGAGCACTGCTTTATGTATGGAACTGAGTGAATGCATCTCTTAAGTTTTTCATGATCTGTATACGAACCAAAGAGTTTCATATGAACATTCATCTCATTTCTCTTCTGTCATCAACTTCCCATTTCTTAGTTCTCCTCTGTTTTGATCACAGCATGGAGGTCTTTCTGAATGAGACAAGCTTTAGGAGCATTCTAGGCTACCCATCTAGCTGAATGCTACAAGGCAACTCATTTCTTGTTCCCAGTTGAGAAATTGCTTTTTCATATCATCACAGCCCTATATTTTAAAGGAATGACTGACAGGTACTGTTTATTCTGTTTTTTATCACACTGTGATTGGTTGGTCGTATTAGGACAGAGAGATAAGGAAAATCATGCAACAAAAAAGTCCTAATGCATAGCTTGTAGCTTACCTGTCACCTCTGGACGATGCTTTGTCATCGTGTGTTGACAGCCAAATGCAGCTGTATGAGCAGGGGCAGGGTTATCTAATTTCTGTGCAGTCCCTTACGAGCCAGGAAAGATTGCTCTTTTGCTTGAATCTCTTTGGATAATCTCTCTGGAAGTATTTTTATTTGGACATGATTGCTTAGAAGTCTGATTCATACTTACGGTCAGTTGCTTGTTTTGTTCGTATTTAGGAGTGCTTTAGGATTGTGAACATTAGATATGAAAGATCTCCAATTCGTGGGTTGCAACACAATACAAGCCAGTTTTACTTGCCAAACTGACAGAACCACAGACAGCACACAGAATGAAAAGGGCCCCACAGATTATTCAGCATCTGGCCAAATCTGCCTGTGCCATGCAGACTTCCTGTGTGAATGCAGGTTTTATTGACCATAAACCCTTTACATATGCTCAGTCATGGGTCTTTTGTAATGGAGATGTTGGCCAAGAAGAGAGGTAATCAGAAAAAGAGCCAGAAAGAAATGTGCTGAAAGCTCTTCACCACCTTCGTGTAAATAAAACTTTGTACTCTGCTGTTAAGTTATGCAGAACAGTGAAAAGTCCCTATTGTTCATGTCGAAATAAAGGCACTGGATAGGAAGTCTTTCTCTGTTCTTGCAGCAATAGAATACAATTATGAAAGCATAATTGAAAGATTAACTTTTCTTTACTGACTGCCAGGGGATTTTATAGTCTGAACTGCAATTTCTGGACAGCTTTTAAGAGGGAAAGGGTGTTGTATATGACAGTAAGCTCATCCTTAATCATTCAAAAATGAGTCAGGAATCAGAAAAGTAAGAAAATGCAATGTAAATCATGAAACATTTTGTAAATGGAAATACATTTTCCATTTAGGATGATTTTATTTTTCTGAGCAATTAGGAACTTTCCCCTCATTTCGGTGAAAGCTGAAATGTCACACGGCGCTTCAGTCTAGGAGCTGAGAGCTCAAGAGAAAGGACAGAAGGAAGTTAAGTCCCAGGACCTGGCAACGTTTATATGCTAGGTGAACTTAGTACATTTTTTAGGACATCATAGGAGTGTATAAAAACATTTAGGGAGTGGACAGGGTGGATGCTACATGTATGGAGAAGGATCACATAACTGAGATCCTTGAATTGGACTTAGGAAGGCAACAGCGAAACTTCAAACATCAGAGATTCTAAAGCTTCTGCAGCGTTCAAAAAAACACAAATAATTTTCTTTCATAGCCTTAAGGCACGTTTATACAAGGAGATGAATCCCAAATAGCTACTGCTGATTTTTTTTTCTTTTCTACATAAACTTCCATTCTGTGCTAAGAATCCCTTTTGCGCTTTGGGTAATTGCAGGGACCAAGTTTGTATTGTCAAAGAGGGAGCAGCTCCAGCAGCCGGGATCCTGCCACAGGACAGCTTTCAGCTCTAAACAAAATTACCCATGCCATTTATTCATTTTCACCGCGTTGCCCCTCAGGCATTGTCAGCTCAGGGGAATGAGCTGCTCTGATGGTCCTGCAGACTTCCTCCTGGGCAGGGATGGAATGGGGATGGAATCTTTCCTGTGTGCGCTCATGACTTCTACCCTTTCCACGCTGCCCAGGAGAGGATTTTTTGATTTGTGACAATGCGCAGTGATAACAGAAGAAGAAAATTAAAAAGTATTTATTAAACGCCTTTTTGTTACATTTCAAATTTGTTTCCACCTGTGCCAAGGGAGGAATAACTGCATGGATTCCAAGAAGCAGTACTACAGCTGTAAAGGATGCGTATTTGTAGCACCTGAGTGTTTGTTTGTATTAAAGCACAATAAAACAGCCATAAATTGATTTTCAAAGAATTAATTTAGATTACAGCTAAAAGATAGACTAAAGTGATTTATGTTTAGCTAGAGCACATCATGCTTGGCCGCAGTGCTGTTTGTGCAGCCACAATTGGCAGTGTAGCCTCCAAATTGAATTTAAAGCAAAACACACATACACAAAATGTATTAAAATGCAACTGCAAAAGCATCCAGCCAACAAAAAAAAAACAAGCCAACAACAACAAAAAAAACAATTTCTGATGTTGTTTAAGACAATATCCATAGGCTGCAGTTTATCCTCTGTACAAATGCATACGGCCCTGGTTGGAAGGGAATACAAATAAATGCCAGTTGGCAGAGAGTTAATGTGATAGGCAGTCCTTTGGCATTAACTGAAGGTTGGAGCTTATCGTGGCTGGGATTTCTTAAAACAGTGGGTTTTCAGGCATTTTCCTTTCAGAGCTTTTCTTTTTAATGCCTTGCTTCAGTCTGTTTGTGGATCTTGAGAAATAATCTAACTTCATGTTTAGGCACCAAGGATCACTGAGTGAAAACTGTTGCCCTAAAAAATTTGTTTCCTAAGGGAATTCCAGACACGTGTGTATACATATATATATGTACATAAATGTACACACACCCTTTGCAGCTTTATGTCTCCAGTTGTGCTTTTGCAAAGTGGCTCCTTCTGTCCTAGAAGGGGCTCTCTAGCCTTCTACTGACTTAATTTGCCATTTACAAAAAGAATGAATCCCAGAATGATTGCCTTTGGGCTGCCCAAAATAGTGACATTTGTTGCAGAAGCCTTCACAGCCCAGGGCCAACCTGGAAGGTTGCATAAACCTGTTGGTCTCCTGTAAGGCAGCTTCCAAATGTCTTAATTCAGTAATTATCTGTCTAAAAGAGGAATTAACAGATCATTATCGCATTCATTAACGGTAACAACGTGGCATTATGGAAATTAATACTCACAATCTCAGCTATACTGAAGGCATGTGGAAGTATCTTCAGTGATCTGCTAAATGTCAGACTTGCTCTACTGCTATAGGCAGTAGTTTTAAGCTCCTGATGTGCCAGTTGCACTAATAAATGTTTCACTTGCGTAAACGTTTTGACATCTATTCTTAATCCATTTCAGAAATAGGAAGGTGTTAATGTGATGCACGTGGTTCTTATTTCTATTCTTATTTTTGGATTTACAATCACATTGTTGTAGTGGAAATGCTCAGTCATGGCTTGAATCACTGACTGAGCACCTGGTGGGAAGGCAGGACCAACCCAGGGGAGCTCATGTGTATGCAATGCAGCTGAGTGACTGGGAAGGATGGAGCCAGGGTTCACCCTTTCCCAGACCTCATTTAAGGGTTGGCAGTGGAGGTGAGGGTATCTGATTGGAGATCCCTGCCTACTTGAGGTCTTGTTAAGGTAAGCAGATTTTCTTCTTTTGTTTCTGTGTCTATGGCAGTTGTCATTTGTTGTAGTCTGGGATTGTGTCACCCTGTTATTACTGCTGTATTTTCCATCACGTTGTAGCACTATGGCATTACAGTTGTCAGCCTTGGTCCTGTGTGATTTAGTGATCCGGATCTCCTAGCATGTTGTTGCAGCTCTACTCATTGATCTTCAATTCATCACACAATTCATCTCACCACCGTCTTTCACATTTCTGTGTTTGTCTGTAAGGCACTGTGTGTGATTGACTGTAAATAGAAGAATCTTAGCATATTTTGATATTACCTATGAGCTGCTATTCAGTTTTCATGTCAAATCTTCTAGTGAGACCAAAGCTCCTGAGCAAAGGCTGTAGAGGCACCCCCAAATCCCACGCTGTTTGGGGCTGTGGGGAGCAGCCCCATGTACCTGCTGGGAGAGCTACAGCCAGGCCTGGGGCTGCACAACGGCTCGTGCACAAGTGGCAGTGCCTGCCCAGTTACAGCACTGCATGCAGCCATGTGCCTTTTTCCATGAGTTTAATACTAACACAGCGTCCTCGTTCCTGTCCGGTGCTGCTGCATGAGTCAGTGTCCCATTCTCAGTATTAAAAGGGATTTCTGGCTTTGTGATTATTTTTTTATACTTCTAATCTAATTCTGTACTTGACTCTCCTAGAAAAGACCACAAAGCTGCCATGACACCTGTACTCCTTCCCTGTACTCCTTCCCCATCAGGTTGCCTTGATGAGCAGGGAGATCTCTTGGGGGTGGAGGGTGGGGAGGAAACATGGTGTTTCCTTCAGCTCTACATATTTCCTGGCTTGTGCCAAGAGATGTTGAAATCGCTTGTTGATGGGCCTGAATTGCAGACAGGAGGTACTGCAGAAAGCATTCTGGGTTTTTGAGTCAGCTGGTCCCAGCTGCAGCCCACATCCTTGTGCCTGTGTGTGAGCTCTGTGCCAGATACTACATCTGCATCTTGCTTGCTGTGCAAGCCTGCATAGCGAGGTCTGCACTTCCTGTACCCAGACCTTGCTGGGACGACACTACACATCTTCCCAGGTCCCACTCTTTGAATCTTTCACCCAAAGGCTGTGCAAGCTCCCTGCTCCCAGTATGCTTGAATACCTGTTAGCAGGTGTTGCTGCTAAGAGGTTTTTAATGAGACTGAAGTCATCACCCCCAGGATCCAAACTGCTGGCCTAGATCACAGAAACTGGAACATGAGGAAGCCCTATTGGTTGCGAGTGAAACACTTAGGGCAAATAGTTCCTTTTCAGGATGTTACTTTCTGGTTTTTTTTTTTTTTTGTTTTTTTTTTTTTTTCATATGCTTTAGAGAGATGATTAAATTATTTAAGTGATTGAAGTTTATTTTAACAGCATTAACTAAGCTAATGAAGCTGTGATGCAGGTAGGAGTCATCTGCTAATGCAATCCAGGGTGCCTTTTGTCTGTACAACTTGTTGTGCTTTGCTGAGTCTCAGGCTAGGATACCGTTGTGAGTCTGGAATATTGATATAATTGTCCTCATTAGAAGGGATTTGCACTTCTACTATGCTGGCATAGCTAAAAGGAGCAATATCTTTAGTGCAGATGAGGCTCTGTGCCTTTGCATTTTGAACTGCTTTAAGTCCCAAGAATTACTTGCACTTGGTTGTTGTGTTTGTAAGCCTTTGTTGGAGCAGCTGCTCGTGTGGAGAAAGAACCTGACTCAATAGAATTTCTTCTGAAGTAGAAATCATTTTGAGTTTTGCCTGTTCTTTTGAGATGATTTTAATGCTAAAAGTGATGCCTCTGGTTAGGTATAATGACTAATATTTAATATATATATTTAGTTTATAGCATAATGAGTACCTTTTATCCTATTTCACAGAGATGAAATAAGGCACATTGCTATTTTTCTAACGTGCAAATACACAGAATACTACAACATTTGATGGAGAGTCAAATCTCCACTGAGGAAGTGTACTGCCCAAAATATTTGAATTCTGAGTCTGAAAGCACTCAGTTCTTAGTCCAGTTCCCAGATCGTCTCAGGACTGCACAGAATGATGGGAAGCCAAATATTCTGCTGGACTTGGGTCCAAATTTTAATGTCTACCTTTTGACTTTAGAAATTTTGTGATATAAATCTAACTGAAAGATGTTTGAGGAGACGTAAAGCATCACTCTGTGGCAGCACGCGATGATGTCACTTCATCAGCCTCTGGTTACTGACAGCCATCTCTGGCACTATGGTATGACCTGGGATATGATTTCTGAATTATTCTAAATTCAGATTGATTTTAAGACACTGCGACAATGTTTTGCTCAGTGAATTAAATGACAAATTTTGTCTGGACTAGCTTTTCCAAATTTGGGAGTTAGCTTAAACAAACAGGACCTCAGGGGTGGAAAAACTGCTTGTCTGACTGGACCCGTTTACAGAAGTAATTAGTTTGGAAAGTTGCATAGCATGTATAATGGATTGCCTTTTTATTACTATTTATAAGTGCAGTGTAAATGAGGTGTGATACTTCCCCCACTTTGGTGCTGGAATCTGGAGTGCTGGGGAGGCTGTCTGTCCCTTGCCTTGGCCTATTCTGTATGTGTGTTTGCTAGCACAGATGTGGCCTTGTGCACAGCCTGAGATGTGTTGCCATCAGCTCCTCAGGAGTGCTGTGCTCACTGACCAAAGCCTGTGATGGGAGTTGTGTTTTGTCAATCATCTTATGTTCTACCAACAAAACATACTTAGGGGTTATATCATCTGCATATTGCTGGCTTTACATTTTCTCTATCTGCTTGTTCTGTATCAACTGCCATTTTAAAATGCTGATGTGCCTTATTGTCATTGCAGAAGACTGTTAAAAGAAGAATTTTCCATTCGTTATGGTAAAATCTTTGAGATTTCTTTACCATCATTAAAAGATATTTATGTTCTTTTCTGCTGTCAGGTGTATGCTTAATACCTAAACAGATGCTGCTTTAAATTTTAAGAGGAAAAGCCACACATCTGAGCAGTGACCTACTCCCTGTTTCTCTTCACACCTGCATCAGTCACTGTTGTAAACATGGTGTACATAGCTGCATGCAAATCTGAATTTCCCAAACTGGTATGAACTTTCCCTGCACTGATTGGTACACATAAGCACACATGGAAACTTTCTGTCAACACAGAAAAAGGTATTAACAATACATGGATGGCTTTCACCTTCTATCTTGGGTGCTCTGTGCAAGTGCTTGTGGTTTTCTCGTGAAGAGATGTGGCTGTAATAAGAAATGCTGACAGCTGTGTGCTGCGTCAGGGTGAGCAGCACCCTCCTGTGGGCCAGGTTTGAATTCCCGAGATGCAAGAGCTATCAGACACTTGTACTTGCAGCACATGGCATCGCCTATTCAGCTGTAAAAAAAAAAAAAGCTGCAGTGTGTTTCAGTGTTAATTCACTTCACTGGTTATGTGGCTTGGTCAGGTCATGGCCAGGAAGAGTCAGAGCAAAAATAGACCAATGCTGAGTGCAGTTCTGGGCAGTTACTGTGAACTTTATATAGCCATACATGCCCTTGTGTAATACAAAAGGTTTTCTTGATCCAGCTTTTACCTGAGGGCACCTTTTACCTCAGGAGACCTCAGCGCTTTCTGTGATATTGTGTGTGTGTGTTGGTGCCAGCAGTGGTAGGTGCATTCAGCTTCAGGTGCTGCCAGCAGGAGCTTTCTGTTCTCTTGTAAAGTGCAAGGCTTTTAGTAGGGTAACTGATGCCTGCTGACACTGAGCCAAGGTGATGGGCTTCAATCAGCAGCACCCTTTGCTGCTATGTAAGGCTGTACCTTACCTGCAGACAGCTCTGAGACAGTTGTCTCTGTACATATCCTAGGTGAGCCCACCCTGCTCCAACATCTATTAAAAATCAGAGAATGTTCTGAATTGGAAAGGCCCCACAAGGAACATCAAGTCCAGCTCCTGGTTCCACAAAGGACCACCCGAAATTCAAACCTTGTTTCTGAACAGTTTGGGGCTGTGCCTGCTGCCGTCTGAGGCAGAACTTTCCCTCACCTCCACCTGCCCTCCCCTGACAGCTCCAGGGAGAGCTCAGCACTGCCCTCCGCTCTCTGTGAGGAGCTGCAGCTGCCCTGAGCTGCCCCTCAGCCTGCTCTGCTCTGGGCTGAGCAAACCCGGGGACCTCAGCTGCCCCTTGTAAATCCTGCCCTTCAGAACAGTCCCCATCTTTGTAGCCCTCCATTGGATGCTCCTTAGCTATGAACCAGCCAGCAGGGCAAGCGGCATCCCACGAGCATGGCCCCAGAAGTGCTGGGGGCTTGCAGGTGGAAGCAGCAGGGCAGGCCTGGAGTGATGCCGAGCAGCCTGGGCTGAGTGCCAATTCAGTATGAAATAGCCACGTCTCCCTGGCTTATTTCATAATACTCATCTGTAATCAATTTAATCAGTTTACTGAGCCATTACAGAGTTTTCAATTATTGGCTGGATAATTTAGAAAAGAGTCATTAGCACTAGGTACTTGTCACACAGGAAAAACAGCAACAAACTGTTGCGAAGCTAGCAAGGAATTGTTTTCATTCTTCTTATGCAAACGGGGGATGCTCTCCAAATCCCCAAGCTTTTGTACTGTGAGGTGCTGGGGTTTTTCCATGTTTTACAAGCAGACAAAGGATAAGATCAGTCTACGGTGTCCCAGGTAGTGGGGCAGCTGGCGCGCAGTGTTTGTATCTGCAGCCAAAGATGCCCTTCCACATCCAGTTAGATTTGCTATCCCTACACAGAATCCCTTTCCAAAGGATTTTCTATCTCGCATCTTCCAAAGTATACTTAAAACATTATTTGCATGTTTGTCTTTGTGGCTCATTGGTGGGAGGGAGCAGTAGTCCAAATGGATGCTTTTTACATCTATTTGTGGGGCCCTTTGTCCCTCTCAAACTTAAAAATGGAGTAACTGTATTAACACGTGCAGTCTAAGGGTGAGTGACACTTCTGGCCCTCCAATGTTTATGTTTGAATAGAACCTTGTTTTTGCCTTGTGTGCTCTGCTATGACCCCTGCACATTATCATAAACTGAAAAATCACAGGAGGCTGCAAAAAGCTATTTTATTTTCTGGGATGACCTAATGTACTGCTTCCAGATGCTCTGGTGTTATCTCTTCAAAACTGTGAATTTGAAGGAACCATAGGACAGGTTCTGATAATTATTGTCCTCAAGTGCTGTTTAATGTTTTGCCATGTCTCAGCAATGGGACCAGTTCTGAGCTTGTCTCTCTTTTCTGGGTTTTTCCCAATAAATAAATAAACAAATAATGAAGCTTTGCGAATGTCTGCATCTTGAAAATTCATTTCCAAGGGGAACTGAACCGGCAGCCTTCTGGAAAGACAGTGAGGTCCCAAATGTAAAAGGAAAGAAAAGCACTTCATTTAGATTCCTGGCATTACTTGGCCATTACTTGGCTCACTTGCAGTGTTTTATTAAAGTGGCTCGTGATCTCAGGACCTGCAGAGCTGTGGGATACACCCATGACTAAGGCAGGCTGGTCATTTTATGGAGCCAAAACGCTTGGGACGCTACCTGAAAAGCTTCCAGGAGGCAAATAAACATATTCACAGAGCTAAAAACAAATAAAAATCCTTGCATGTGCAGTTAGCTCTGTTTCACAGAAAACAACTGTATTGCCTGAGATGTCGCTAGTCCTGTTAAAAGCAAACAATGCATTGACACAGCAGCAGAGAAGTGAACTCAATGCACTTATCCATTGCAAGGTGCCTGTGTAACAAACACAAACCCACCCAATTTTGTGATATTTTTCTGTTTTAGGATAGACGTTGTCTGGAATCATAGAATCGGTTGTGTTATAAAGATCATCTAGTCCAACTCCCTTGCAATGAAAAGGGATATCTGCTGCTCAGTCAGGTTGCTCAGACCCCTTCAGCCTGGCCTTGGATGTCTCCGATGCTAGGGCATCCACATCTCTGGGCAAGCTGTGCCGTGCCTCACCTCTCCTATTGTAAAACACTTCTTATTTCCAGTCTAAATCTCCTACATTTTAGTTTAAAGACATTTCACTTTGTTCTATCGCAACGGGCCCTGCTAAAGAGTCTGTCTTCTTTCTTACAGCCCCCTTTAGATACTGAAGTCTGGTCTCTCTCTTCTCCAGGCTGAACAGCTCCATCTCTCAGCCTGTTCTCACAGGGGATGCGCTCCATCCCTGGGATCAACTTTGTGGCCCTTCTCTGCACATACTCAAACAGGTCCACATCTCTCCTGTACTGAGGACTCCACATCTGGACATGGTGCTCCAGGTGAGGCCTCATCATCAAGGAGTAGAGGGGCTGGATCACCTCCCTTGCTTTGCTGGCCATGGTTTTTTTTTGGATGCAGCCTAGGATATGGTTGGCTTTCTGGGCTGTAAGGGCACATTGCTGGCTCACATCCAGCTTACCATCCACCATCCAACTGTAAGAATGAAACAGCCCTCTGCTGCAGCTCCACTGCACCTGGAGCTTGGGTTTCCACTGTTCTGGTTCTAGCTGTTTGCAATGTATTGCAATGTATTGAACAGATTGTTGTTATGTTGCTCGAATACTGTGCTACAACTGAAAAGAAGATTTTTTTCTTCTCTTAAAAAGCAGAGGATGCTGTATTACTGAGAGGCAAAGTCTTGCCTACATTTGCACTGTTCAAGCTAATTGTCACCATCTGTCCAACCCAACCTTTCCCACAGTGGAGTCTAACAGGTGCATTTATGGTGGCAATAAAGATCAACCTGTGAATATGCATTTGAAAACAAACTATTTCAGATGTTTAGCTGTAGCGGCCTCGCATTTGGAAGAATTCATGTCCTCTGCCAGCTGAAGGTCACCTGAACTGTTGTAGATTTATTTTTTAAGCTTATCTGTTACACGTTTTCTAGAGTAAATGTGAAATATTTCCAGTTTCTGCCCTTACCTCACCTCATGCAGAACAAGCAATTTCGGAGTTTTACTCAGCGTTCAGTGTAACCAAGTGTGCTCTTATATCTTTTCTGTCAGGATGAAGAGTATAAAGAGGCCTCTCCTCAGTGCCAACAGGCAGAAGGATTGAGCAGAAGCTGCTCTTGCATAAAGGCCCTCCATTCCAGAGAGGCCACAGCAGAGAACTGAACCCCATGGGGAAGCCTGCTGGGACAAGGAGCTTGGGAATGTAATTGCATGGAGAGTATGGAATATTTTAAAGTCTATTATACAAAAGCAATTGGGAATTTGCATGCAAGAAAGGGAAAGACACAGAGCACAGAGAAGGCTTCAGGCAACTAAAAAATCACAAAGGATGGTAAGGGAAGAACAGAGACTGAAGGAATGGAAAAAAACTTCCCAAAGGCACAGTCTTCAGCATGAATTGAAAGAGTATGGGTAAGTCAAGGCTTACAAACCTGTGGCAAGAGGTAAAGAAAATCATAACACATAAGCGTTGCAGTGCTTAAGTGGAACATGAAGAAGAAGTGACGTGCAGTGAGGGCAAAGTTGAGGTTAAGTGCAGCCTGGATACTGTCCTAAATGGAGAACATGCTTTGTCCCATCTTCGTGGTGGGTAGTAATGCTGAAAAGACTGTCAAGATCAGAACTCCTTGACCTGAATAAATGAAAAGTCAAAGGATGGATTGTGCTTAGATGTGTTTTATCCCAGCAAATAAGCCAGCCTTTGAGATGAACCTGGCCAGTTCTTCAATGACTGAATCACCAGTTCTCCAGTGACTGCACTTCAAGATGAAGGAATCGTACAAAAGATGGAGATGTGGGTCATTTACTAAGCAAGAAGATGAAAAATAGAGACAAACTCGGGCCAAGATACAAAAAGAGCTATAACTAGAAAGGATTATAAAGCATATGAAGGGATCATCTTTAAAGCATTAGAGGAATGAAAAGGCTAAGGAAAGGAGTAGTCAACAACTGAAAGAAGAGGGAGGGAGAGGGGAACTATCAACAGGTGTATCTGAAAGTACGTGAGTGGTGGAGGAATGGCAGAGAAAGAAGAATTAGCATAAATAGATAGATATATTGAGCAGCTGTCTCCCCTACCGTGTCTTCTGCAGGCAGAGAGTGCTGGTGTTCTTCATTTATTTACCTCGCATTACTGAAATACAGTTTGCTGTAGGGTTAGGTAGGTGCGTGATGGTAGAAAAGCTACCAGAAAAGAAAAAATGTTTGTTTCACTGAAGGGTTTTTTTCTTTATCATAATCATGTCAAGAATAGATGAAGATCTGAGCAGAGAAGCCCAGTAGCACTTGGGCCCCAGGGAGGGGCAGTGCCATAGCACACGAAGGAAGATTTCTGTGCACTGCTCCCCTTGTTTAGCCAACACATCCCCGGATACCAGCAATACTGTTATCTGGCAGAAACACTTCTCCAAACTCCTTCAATCATTCTTAATGACCAGAACAAGTTTTCATCAAAAATAGTCATCCAGAATGGTGTTTGTTTTCAAAATATAGCCCTGTTTGGCTGGCTGCACTGTCTTCATCAGCTGAGGTGAGATAAAAGGGCCAATGTCTTGGCAGAAAAAGTCAGTTTTCTCAAGAGAAGCAACGCGTGATTCAGAAGGAGGGCAAAGGAAAGAGGTTTGCAATTGTTTGGCTTGTGCCTTCTCTGTTCGGTGTGTGCTGTGAGGTGAGAAGACGGGTCTAGCAGCAGGTAAGCAGCTCCACATGGTTTCTGAGGGACCTTAGGAGATCTCCCTGTGTCCCGTGGCTCCTGCAGCCAGAGGTAAGAGAATTGGGTTGGGAAGTGAACCTGTAGGGCAGGAGAATGGGATTTCTCATTATCCCAGTTCTGTTTCCAAACTGCAGCCAGGACGGTGCTCAGGACTGCTTTTGTCTGTGTGTCTGTGTTCAATTCTGATGAAAAGGTATGCTTTATTGCAACTGCATTTTGACTGAGAAACTCGGAATAGCTTTGGGTACTATATACTTAATCAGACTGAGAAAGCTGCATACTTTCATTTTGCAGATATCAGTCCCTGTGATGGGCTTGTTTGATGTAAGCCAGCAATGTAATTTCAAATGTCAAAATGTTAAAGGAAAAATTATTTTGCAAATAACTTTCCCTACCTGTGTGTTGCATTCCTAAAACATCACTTGGATATTTCAAGATTTTCAAACTAGATTTTAAATGGAAGTATCATCAAGAAGGGCAAGATTGTCTGATCTTTATCCCTCTGCTGTCCCACTAGTAAAGAGCACAACAGCCTCTGTAGCTCTCTCTGATGGGGACATCTGTGTCAGTATGCAAACCATAGCCTCAGGTTTGTGCTTGCTTGAGTCCATAACTGATAACAACTGGCACCACAAGAAGGTGTTGTCTGTTTGGTTTGGCTGAGGTTATTTTCTTTTGTTTGTTAATTTGCTCAATCTGCATGAGTCCCGGAGCCAAGCAAAGCACATTATGCACATGAATGCAATATTTCCTGTCTGTAACTCTGCTTACCTGCTCTCCTGCTTAGCCTTCCTGCTGCAATGGAGGACAAGTCAAGCCAGACATCAGGACAGAGCAAAAATGTGCAGAGCTCCCTAACACCAGAAGAGCCTCCTGTCAACTTTACGCACATCAAGTTGGAGGAGAATGAGCCCACAGACTTCAGGGCTAAGGATTTTATCCTGAAAAAAGCCAGAGAGGTCTGCAAATGCAATCATCAAACCATCATCACCTTCTTCTGCCAGCTGTTCCCAGTGCTAGACTGGCTTCCCCATTACAACATCAAGATGCAGTTGCTTGGGGATGTCATATCTGGGCTCCTGGTGGGGATAGTCGCCATCCCTCAGTCCATCTCATACTCCCTGTTAGCCAACCAGGATCCCATCTATGGAATCTACACAAACTTCTTCTGCAGCATCATCTATGTCGCTATGGCCACTTCACGCCACAACTTTGTGGGATCCTTCGGAGTCCTCTGCCTGATGATTGGGCAGTCTGTGAATCGGCACCTCCAGCTAGCAGGGTACGATGACAACACTGGCTCTCTGCTGGTGGGCAATGCCACCTCCTCCAGCGATGGGATGGGTACCTGTGACAGGAGCTGCTACGCCATCACTGTGGCCCTTTCCTTGAGCTTTCTGGTCGGTCTTTACCAGGTACAAATGTCCACTGTTGTGCAGTTTCCTTGCTAGGAACTTGTTAGTGCTTAACAACTCTAAGCTCCAGTCCCACTTCAGACTTAAAAAACATGAGATGCCTTTCCTAAATGCAACTAGAGCCTGACACCTTTAGCCAGCTGCAGTGATTTGAAAAGCCTGAACACAGCTGAATTTAAGGTTTTGCTTCCCCCATGTGCTGGGTCCTTGAATCTGTCTGAAACATGCTTAGAATCAAACACAGTAGCGGAAATAAAGGAAACTGTGAGCCACCTTCCCGACACTTTGGTTCTGGACCTGAGCTGACTGCTCTGTAGGTGAGAAGCAGTCAAGGCAAAAAGGAACAGCCCTCACAGACTGCCATCGGCAGGGGCTCCATTAATGGCTATGAATGGCTTGGGCCTGGCTGTTAGACAGCTTCAGGTCCTCTCACTGGAACAATTAAAATCACACAATTCTCATGCCATTGAGATGCTAATTACTGCTTTGATCTGTCTGCTCTCTGGACTTCCACTGTTAACTATGCACCCTTATTGCTTGAAAAAACACAGCAATGGGGATCTTGTAGGCTTTCTTGTATGGCATCTCTCACCACAGACAAGTCTGGGTAGCAGTCTTTAGTATTCAATACACCACATTATCTACCTAAGACAAAAATCTGGGTCTCATACTGAATGCTCAGCAGACAGAATAGCTAGACATGCTGAAGTAGAAGCAAATTGCCATAAATTTCCAGCTACCTCTTCTAGCCCTTCTCATGGATGCTAATGATATGGGTGTCTTGCTTTTCAGATCCTGCTGGGGGTTTTGCAGTTGGGCTTTCTGTCTGTCTATCTGTCAGAACCTCTCCTCAGCGGCTTTGTGGCCGGCTCCAGCCTCACCATCATCACCTCCCAGATGAAGTACCTCCTCGGGCTGAATATTCCCCGTCACGAAGGGGTGGGGTCCTTCATCCTGACATGGGTGGATCTTTTCAGGTACATCCAAAACACCAATATCTGCGACCTGGTCACCAGCCTGGTTGCTTTGGCCATCATAATACCTGTCAAAATGATCAATGATCGGTACAAGGACAAGATGAAGGCCCCATTCCCTGTAGAGCTGCTCGTGGTCATCGTAGCCACAGTAGTATCTTACTGCTTTAACTTTGAAGAGCGATACAAGTCTTCGGTTTGTGGGGCCATCCCCACCGGCTTCAGGAAACCCACCCTACCAGATACAAAGCTGTTTTCCAGCCTGGCAGTCGATGCTCTGCCCATTGCTATTATAGGCTTTGCTATGACGGTCTCCCTGGCGGAAATCTTTGGCAAAAAGCATGGCTATGCTGTCCGTGCCAACCAAGAGATGATCGCCATTGGCATGTGCAACCTGGTCCCATCTTTCTTCTACTGCTTTGCTAGCTCTGCAGCCTTGACCAAGACTTTGCTGAAGGAGTCCACAGGGACCCAAACGCAGCTCTCTAGCCTGGTCACCTCCCTGGTGCTGCTGCTGGTGTTGCTGTGGATCGCTCCGCTCTTCTACTCTCTGCAAACTGCCATCCTGGGGGTGGTCACCATTGTCAACCTGCGGGGTGGCCTGAGGACATTTTGTGAAACCCCACGCATGTGGCAGCTCAGCAAGCTGGACACGGTGGTGTGGTGGATAACCATGCTGGCCTCCACGCTGATCACCACAGAGATAGGGCTCCTCGTGGGCGTCTGCTTTGCTCTGCTCTGCGTCATCTTCCGCACGCAGAGACCCAGGGCCGCACTCCTGGGCAAGGTCAGCAATACGGAAATCTACGAAGACCAGTCTGCTTACAAGCAGCTCAGCAGTATTGCCAACATCAAAATCTTCCGCTTTGAGTCGTCCCTTTACTATGCCAACAAAGACTATTTCAAGACTGCGCTTTACCGGAAAACTGGGGTCAATCCTGTCCTGCTGGCTGCCAGGCATCACAGGGCGAAGACCCGGGCAAGAGCAGACTCAGGCAACAGGAAGAGCATTTTTAGCACTCTGGTTGGTTGCCTGAAACCTTCCAAGAAACACGTGGAGAAGTCACCCACAAGCGTCTGCCTGCCATCCCTAGATATGCACACCCTAATCATTGACTGCGGGGCTATGCAGTTCATAGATACCGTGGGTCTCTCCGTGCTGAAAGAGACGCGCAGTGACTACCAGGAGCTCGGTGTCCAGGTGCTCCTGGCCAACTGCAACCCCCTCCTCCGCCGCCGGCTGCGGGATGGAGGCTGGGCTGCTGAGGCACACGGCGGCCAGCCGGCTTTCCACAGCGTGCACCACGCGGTGCAGTTTGCACAGCAGTGGTACCACGAGCAGCAGCAGGAGAGCAGAGAGAGAAGGGATGCTGCCCCTGATCCTGAGGACCTGAGCGTCCAAGCGTCTCTGTAGAGCTGCACGTGAGGAATGATTTCTGATGAGCTGGGCTTCACCGCAATTTTAGGGTGGGTTTTTTTGTTTGTTTGTTTGTTGTTTTTTGTCTTTTTTTTTTTTTTTTTTGCAAGCAGAGCACTGAAAAAGACCTGTTAGCAGCAAGCACGGAGTAAACGGACAGGGGAAGCGCGGATTTCAAGGCCAATAATCTGAGAGGCATTTCAAGGTCAGCCGCGTCGGTAAAAAGCCTGGGTGGCTTCCCCTCTGCGGAAAGGACTTGCCAGCGACAGGCGGCACACAGCCGTGCGGAGCCACCGCTGCTGCGGTTCCGGACTCTCGTGGGCGCTGGGGGGCGCGAGTGAGCCGCGCCGGCACCGCGGCGGGGAGCGGGGATGGGCCGGCAGCGGTGTGCGGCCGCCGGCTGTGAGCGGCCCGGCCTCGGTGCGGGGAAAAGGGAAGCGCAGGAGTGTAGGCTCTTAAAAAGGCGGCTGAATTTGGAGCCGTTCAAATTCCAAGTCCAAACTTCCCGTTGTTCTCAGTGGTGCAAAAACACCCTCCAAATCAATAACGGTGTTCTCCAAACCCAGCGCCAAGGAAACGTCGCTCTACGAGCGTGCTTAGGAGCATTCCCAAATGCAATGGGAGCTCATCGTGGAGAGTTTCCTTCTGTGTGCAGCTCCAGTGCCCAGACAGAATGAAACAGGAAAGTGAGGATGCAAGAATCCCCTCCAGGGGTGCTCTCACAAAAATTGCACTGTAGAGAAATCCGCTTCCCATGGCTCTGGTGGTCCCCAACCAAACCAGGACCAAGAACCAGCATGGCCCCGCTGCTTCACACATGGCCCCACGTTCCTTTGTGCCACCTTTATTTGGGACTGTCCTTCCCTCCCCTGTGTCCGCTCTGAGTCAATGTGGGGAGTAGATTGCAGGGGAACAGTTATGTTCCAAACAGCCCATGGCAGAGAGCATAACAGTCCCTCAGAGGCCACAGAACAAACGCTGCAGAGAATAGGACAGGACAGGATAGAATCATTTGAATGGGAAGGAACCGTTAGAGGCCATCTGGTCCAACTCCCTGCAATGAGCAGAGCTTCTTTAGTGCTCAGAGCCCCTTCAGCCTAACCATGGGTGTCTACAGGGTCAGGGTATCTATCTCCCCTCTGGGCAATCTGTGCCAGTGCCTCTTCTCCCTTACTCTATAAAGAATAAAATAATAAAATAAAATATTATAAATAAAATATAATATATATATATAAATATATATAAATAAAATAAGAATAAAATAACAAAATAAAGAATAAAAAAATTCTTCTTTATATCCAATCTAAATCTCCCCTCTTTTAGTTTGAAACTACTTCCCTTTGTCCTATCACAGCAGACCTTGCTAAGGATTCTGTCCCCTTCCTTTAGTTACTGACAGGTCTCCTCAAAGTCAGCAACAGCAAAACACTTCCCTTAAAAACAAACAAGTTTCAGAAGACTGCAGGGAATTTTTTCAGCTGACAGCCCTTGCTCCATCTGCAAATCCACCGTATATGCTGCATGTTTAATACAACACTATTCCCCTGATCACGTTTAGGAAACACCACATCTGACAGCTACTTGGAGACTTGTAAATAAAGTGCATGGAAAAGGAAACCTGCTGGCTCTGCTCAAGAACATATTTTTTTGTGGTCAAAAAAAAAAAAAAAAAAGAAAAAGATTCCTTCAGATAGCTTAGGATTGGAGTATGCCCAGCAGCCTGCTGGAGCCGGGTTGGAAGTGCCAGACAAACCCAGACCTTGCAGGACTGACTGCTCAGCATGGGTCTCTCAGGACCTGAGGAAATGGCCGCAAGTTGTACCAGAGGAGATGTAGCTTAGACATGAGGAAAAACTTTTTCTCTCAGAGAGTGGTCAGGCACTGTAATGGCCTGCCAAGGGTCCTTGCAGGCTGCCAGGGCATGAAGCAACTCCCAGGGAGGTTGCATCAGTCATGGAGAGTGGGCAGCGGGCAGCTCTGTGTGCAGAAGAGTCAGAGAATCTGCAGAGAGAAGACTTGTTACTTCCACTTTGCTTCCTCTTTGGAGTAGCAGAACCATCGTTTTCCTTGAAAGCCCATTTATGAGGGAAATTAAATTGTTTTAGTTAGGCTTTATATGCATTTATGATCTCAGCGGGTTGAATAAAGCCACAGGAGGAAGTAAAATGGATGCCGATGACTTCTGGGCACCGCCTGCTGCAAGACAGCAGGTGAGGTTCAATGGGAGCAGGGATTCCCACCTCCTGCTGCAATGCAGTGTGCAGGCACAGAGGAGCTGTGAAAGTGCCAAAGCAACACTACTTTCTTATCAGTCCCTATGAAGAGGCCGTGAGTTGTAAATGATACCGAGCGATAGGACACAAACTGTACGGTCCAAGGGTAGCCCATAATCAGTGGTGCGGGAAATCAGGCGCTATATCTGGGCCCTTCGCCTTTGGGGCCACGCGTGGCCCTAGTGGGCCCCAGTGCAGTGGGACAGCACTGCCCAGACACCTCCTGCCCCTTCCTGCAGCACTGCCAGGCACTGCGGAAACGCCACGTGATAAAAGCAAATGTTATCTCCCCCAGCAAGCAGCTCACCTGTTCTGCTCCTTCTCTCTCTGCCCCCTGCCTTGCTGAGATCTATAAATACTCCAAGAGTGTGATAAATAGATGCTCAGGCTTTGTCAGCTGTGGTTGGAGCTGACTGTGCAGCTGTTAATTATGCCGCAGCAGCAGCCGGACAGGTTTGAATCCTTTTGATGCTTTGAAATGCTCCCTCTGGGGAAGTTTAGAGAATAAAGGTTTTATGGCTGAATGGTGTTTGCTTCACCTTCTGGAAAGCATATGGGATTGCTGCTCTTGCCCCTATTGCCTGTTCCTGGATATGCTCTTTTCTAGCTCCAGGAATTACTTCTGTGATAAAGCAGGGTGCTCCCAGCACAGGCAAGTCCCACAGTGTAACATTTGCCCATGTAGAACTTCCCAGACAGGCAAACCTCGGCTGGGAAGGAAAATCAGTGAGCTGCAGGTGGTGGCATTGAGTCTCCTAAAAATAATAAAAAAAAGAACAAATAAAAATTAAAACTTCACTGGAGGCAGCTGATGCTGGAGGAGGGTCTGGGCAGGAGTTGGTGCTCCCCTAAGCCAGCTGTGGGCTCTATCAGTGGCTCAGATGGCAGGAGATCTCTATCCTGTGGCTGAGAAAGGGTTTCTGATGTGCATCCTCCACAGTTTCAAATCTTTTAAAGCAGGGTTTAAACAGAGGGTGCTGTGCAGCCCTTTCAGCAGAATTCAGAAGCTGACGTGATTGTGTCACAGCAAAGCCTTCTGAGAAGTCCAGGTAGGAACACAGCAAGGCCATGAGGCGAGGCAGAGCAGTGAGCCCTCTGGCCATACAGGGGTGCAGGGGACAGGTCTCCTTCAGGTTAGACCTAAATTAGGCTCTGCAGGAAGAGCTCCTTGCCCCGGGCTCCAGCTCAAGCGGCGAACTGCGGTCCCACAGGCAGCTGCACGCAGGTGTGATCACAAATTCTGCACTACCACCGCCAGAGAGGGGCTGGGTGTCCCGTCCCACCTGTGTGTGTCTGCAGGGACGGGGCTCGGAGCGCAGATGGAGCTGTGGGTATCGCTGTTGGTTGCAGGAGGTTGGATCAGATGGCCGTTAGCGATCCCTTCCAACTCAAACGATTCTATGATTCTACGACTGCGCACCTCACGCCGGCTGTTTTCCTGAGCTCTCTACAACCGTTTGCCTGGACAAATTAGCAGCTGATAGGTTGGGAGATGGCAACCGATGGATCTGTCGGCTCCTCACACTCGGCTGAGGCTACGGAGAAGTAAACGGGACCGGTAGCGCTCCGTTGAGCGCTGGCAGAGCGCCGCCGTGCCGCCAGGGGGCGCCACCGGCGCAGCGGAAGCACCCCGAGCAGCGCCTCCCGCCCCGCCTGCCCCGCTCCGTCCCTGCGCGCACTGCCCGGCAGCCGCGGCGGCTGAGCTTCGTGCTGCTGCGGTGCTGTGGATGGAGCACAGGTATTCACTGTATTCTGCGCTTCGTTTTCCCCGCTTTTCCCCTTAGAATTCCTTATTCAAGCAAGTAACTCGCTTCAAAGAGGACGCCCAGCAGCTGCTGCTGGTCCGACCTGGTTTCACCTTGCCGAGCACTCTCACCCCAGCGCACCTGCGTCATGGTGTGCTTCACATGGTCTGCTGTGCTGCGGAGGATGCAGGGTGAATTTCCCCGAGTGCTCTGCTGCGCTTGGGTAGGCAGTGGATGTAATCATCGCTGCCCAAGCGTGCAACTGCCAGCACAGCTGGCACAAGACTAGCAGGGTCCCGTCTGCTCTCCTCTTTTCGCACAGCTCTGGATAAAGAACCATCCTGCTGTTTTTCTTCTTAATGTTAAGGTTTTTGATGGGAAATGAATGGTCAGGAAGATCACTGTTCCACTAAGCAACGACAGGACCTAGCTAATGGGTTTCCATCCCATGAAGGGTTTGGGGTTCCCTTCCCAGGTGCTGCAGGCAGCCCAGTGCCAGTGGGGTTGCACTGAGAACCTCTCACTGCTGAGTGTGGGTACCAGCGTTGGGCCAGAGCTGACCCTAGGGGTTCCAAAGGCCGTGCAGCCCCCCAGCACCACTCCACCCCTCATGCAGTGCTGTGAGCTAGACCTGGAAATCTGGGTGGGAATAACCGCAGTGATAGCCTGAGGATTCCAAAGGTGAGGACTCCCAAAGGCCAAAGAGTGGGAAGGAAAAAGTCACTCTCCTTGTGTAATTTTGTTTGCATTTTAATAGTAGAATTGCTAACAAGTGGAGTCGTCTAACTGCTGCCATGGAAACGGCAGCCTTCATCCCTCACACGGTGCAGCCATCTGCAGCAGAGCAATCCTGGGCTGCACGAGCAAACTGAGTTGGGGGCTCACGGCCGACCAGGGCAAATGGCACGAAGCACAGCAGGACCTTCATCCCTCTGAGTGATGTGACATACCTGTACATGCAAATGGGATTGGAGAAGAGCAGCCATGCAGATCCAGCGTGGATCAAATTGGTTTGAATGGGTTTTGGGTTAGCAGTGGCTGCATTGCTTTGGTTCCACGCTTAGTGGACATTGATATGAGCAGGCAGAGGGTGGGATGTGCAAGAAGTGCTCCAAGAGGAAGCAGCCTCACAGAGCACCAGCGCTTCTGGCTGGCTTGGATGTGCTGTGCTGAACCTCTTGGTTTGCACAAAGTGACTCACTTATGAAGTGTAGCACTGAGCACCTGGCTATGGCAGGTTGAGCAGATCCCATTACCTCCTTCAGTGCTTCCATGTGTGCACTGGCTTTCATGGAACTCCTATCCCATCCTTTCTTGAGAGCAAAATGACTTGTGTTTATGCTACTTCATCTCCAAAAC